GAAGGGCAATGGCTATAAGAAGATTGCAAAGATGTTAAACATACCAAGAGACACCTTAGGAAGCATCATTCGCAAATTCAAGGCAAAGGGCACTGTTGAAACGCTACCTGGTCGTGGCAGAAAGAAGATGCTGACTTCGACTGCTGTGCGCTACCTGAAGCGTAGAGTGGAGAGAAGTCCCCGTGTGACTGCTGAGGAACTGAGAAAAGATTTGTCAGATGTGGGTACAGAAGTTTCAGCCCAGACAATAAGACGCACACTGCGTAATGAAGGCCTCCGTGCCAGAACTCCCAGGCGTACCCCCTTGCTGTCTCCAAAGAATAAGAAGAGTCGACTGCAGTATGCCAAAAGCCATGTGTGGACAAACCACAAAAAGTTGTGGGATAGTGTTCTGTGGACTGATGAAACAAAATTAGAACTGTTTGGGCCCATGGATCAACGCTATGTTTGGAGGAGGAAGAACAAGGCCTATGATGAAAAGAACACCTTGCCTACTGTGAAGCATGGTGGAGGGTCAATCATGCTTTGGGGCTGTTTTGCTTCTGCAGGTACAGGGAAGCTTCAGCGTGTGCAAGGTACCATGAATTCTCTTCAGTACCAGGAGATATTGGATGGAAACGTGATGCAGTCCGTCACACACCTGAGGCTTGGGAGACGTTGGACCTTTCAACAGGACAATGATCCCAAGCATACCTCCAAGTCCACTAGAGCATGGTTGCAGAGGAAAGGCTGGAACATTTTGGAGTGGCCATCGCAGTCACCAGACTTAAATCCGATTGAGAACCTCTGGTGGGACTTAAAGAAAGCAGTTGCAGTGCGCAAGCCTAAGAATGTGACTGAACTGGAGGCCTTTGCCCATGAAGAATGGGCGAAGATACCCGTAGATCGCTGCAAGACACTTGTGTCAAGCTATGCTTCACGTTTAAAAGCTGTTATAACTGTAAAAGGATGCTGTACTAAGTACTAAGATTGAATGTCACTTGGGGTTGAATAAAACTGATAATGCTGTGAGCACAGAAAAGACATTTGTGGTTATTTCATTATAACTGTTATGTTATATTTGTCTGACCTACAAGTGCCTCTTTAATGTAAATGTAAGCAAGATGACTGAATGATCAAAAGCAATGTCAAACTGGCCAAAACACTCAATTTCAGTGGGGGTTGAATAATTTTGGTCACAACTGTATATATATATATATATATATATATATATATATATATATATATATATATATATATATATAATTACAGTCCCGTGACAAAATTAAATCAAATTAAATTATAATATATTTTCCATTTGATTCTTCCGTGTTACTGATCCCTTCACCATCCACCAGTGCAGAAATCAACATTAACCGCACTCACCAGATAATGGTGAGTCACACGCCTTTCAGGATTGTTTAGGGGCTCCTGGACCCCCTTTACTTTGTCTGAGACCTCCAAGTGCTGTTTCCTCTTATGTCTAGGTACCTCTTCTGCTTACTCCTCTCACCGAATCCCCCAAAGGAAAATCAGGAAGAAGAAAAGACCACAGCGTGATACCGCAGTAACTTCTCCTCAGATTAATCTCTCCAGACCACTCACATTCTTTTGCGGGGTATAGCCCACTTTTTATTCAAAACAACAGCGATTCTCTTCAAGAATGATCCACTTTTCATGTACACCGATTATACAAGGACCCCACAGTTTAGTGTGCAGCAGGATGGCAGACCTCAGCTACAGACTCTTCTACTTAGGCTAAGATGGCCCCTTGGAACGCACCGCTCGGCGTGCGCTCCACTCACCGGAAATGACGTCAGACGACGGACCAGGCAACCGGAATGCTTGTATCCAGAATGCTTGTATACATGCTTGTATCCAGGTTTTTGTGCCAGAGGAATTAGTGGGAGGGATCTCCCAAAGCTTTATAAGCGGCTGGGAAGTGGTAATGAGCGTCTTGATAACGCCCTGTGGGTGGGGCGAAACGCGTTGACGCACTTCCGGTTGCCTGGTCCGTCGTCTGACGTCATTTCCGGTGAGTGGAGCGCACGCCGAGCGGTGCGTTCCAAGGGGCCATCTTAGCCTAAGTAGAAGAGTCTGTAGCTGAGGTCTGCCATCCTGCTGCACACTAAACTGTGGGGTCCTTGTATAATCGGTGTACATGAAAAGTGGATCATTCTTGAAGAGAATCGCTGATGTTTTGAATAAAAAGTGGGCTATACCCCGCAAAAGAATGTGAGTGGTCTGGAGAGATTAATCTGAGGAGAAGTTACTGCGGTATCACGCTATGGTCTTTTCTTCTTCCTGATTTTCCTCTGGGGGATTCGGTGAGAGGAGTAAGCAGAAGAGGTACCTAGACATAAGAGGAAACAGCACTTGGAGGTCTCAGACAAAGTAAAGGGGGTCCAGGAGCCCTTAACAATCCTGAAAGGCGTGTGACTCACCATTATCTGGTGAGTGCGGTTAATGTTGATTTCTGCACTGGTGGATGGTGAAGGGATCAGTAACACGGAAGAATCAAATGGAAAATATATTATAATTTAATTTGATTTAATTTTGTCACGGGACTGTAATTATATATATATATATATATATATTTTCTGGGTTTTTTTTTTGATTTTTTGTCACTTTGCTTTTTTGTCACTGGACTTATAATTTTAAATTTTTATATATCAATATATTTTATATATAATTTACTTTATTAGCACATTAATGTTTTTTTAAACTGAGTAATGTAATTGATCATGTGGGTTTGCGCTGGTTTTCATTGTTAAAAGTTTTTGGTCCTTTGTACCTGTGCACAGCAGCATCTCACGGGGATTTGTATGGTAAATAGGAAGTCCTGAGCGCTGAGGTTTTGTTTTTTTACATATTTGTGCCAATATTGACTGGTATTTGGAACTGTTCATAATTTCCTCTACCTTGACTAAGGCCCCAGTTCCAGCTGAAGAAAAACAGCCCCAAAACATGATGCTGCCACCACCATGCTTCACTGTGGGTATGGTGTTCTTTTGGTGATGTGCAGTGCTGTTTTTGCGCCAAACATATCTTTTAGAATTATTTCATCAGACCATAACAAATTTTCTCACAGGCTTTTGGGATTTCAGATGTGTTTCTGCAAAATTTAGCCAGGCTTGGATGCTTTTCTTCGTAAGAAAAGGCTTCTGTCTTGCCACTCTACCCCATAGCCCAGACATATGAAGAATACGGGAGATTGTTGTCACATGTCCCACACAGCCAGTATTTGCCAGGTACTCCTGCAGCTCCTTTAATGTTGCTTTAGGCCTCTTGCCATCCTCCCAGACCAGTTTTCGTCTCATCTTTTCAATTTTGGAGGGACGTCCAGTTCTTGGTGATGTCACTGTTGCACCATATTTCTCCACTTGATGACTGTCTTCACTGTGTTCCGTGGTATATCTAATGCCTTGGACATTCTTTTGTACCCTTCTCCTGACTGTTACCTTTTAACAATGAGATCCCTCTGATGCTTTGGAAGCTCTCTGCGGACTATGGCTTTTGCTGTAGGATGCGACTAAGAAAATGCCAGGAAAGACCTACTAGAACAGCTGAATTTTGGGGTTAATCAGAGGCACTTTAAATTATGGCAGGTGTGTACTGACTCCTATTTAACATGATTTTGAATGCGATTGCTTAATTCTGGACACAGCTATATCCCCAGTTATAAGAGGGTGTGCACAGTTGTACAGTTTATAGGTCACATTAAAGGTGGAAAAAGTTCTGAAATTATTTATTTTTGGCTCTTCTTTTACATCACAAAAACCTGACATTTTAACAGGGATGTGTAGACTTTTTATTTCCACTGTATACATACATACACACACACATATATATACACACACACTGTAACTGTATTAATCACAGTCAAATAGGGGGGTAAATCTTCTGGTGGTCAAGTGGTTAATGTGACATGTACACACATTTTACTAAGCTGTATAATCAATAATTAGAAATCAATTACTTTATACTGATGGCAAATCGCTCCGCTTCTGCTGTCCTCTCCCGTATAAGGTACGTTCCGCTAACATGGGCCTTTAGGAGATTGTCGGCTTGCGGCCGTTCTACATTTCCTGCAAACCTAAAACAATTAACATCCAATAAGAATGACACAAAGGCTGACAGCTGTGGGAGGCAGTGTGAGGTGTTTAGTACCTACCAGGGATATTTACTGTAGTCCGGGCGGATCATCGGCTGTGACAAAACACAAACCTTCAATGTTAAGTCTGTTTAATACAAATTGTTTCACAATACAGTTCTTAGATAGTCACATCAGCTCCTTGCAGTCTACACTTTTGTGAAGCCAATGTCAACAATATGTAACATTTTCTAACAGAACGGCCATTTATGTTGTTTCCTTCAAATAATTTTCTTTCCTTCTTGTTACTACTCCTTGCTTTTGTGCTTGGACTCCCTTGCCAAATGTTTTGCCATCTTGGTGATCAACACTCCTTATGTGTACAGGACAAGTATGGGGTCCCTTGCATCACCCTAGCCTGGCTGTAACAAGTCATACATGGTACAGCTCACAGCAGATTCAGGAAAGCAGCAGAACATGTATAAAATATATTCTAAACATCTGATAATTACATAAGATAAAGATTTAGAAGGAACAGGTTTATGGGAACCTCAGCACACATGGAAAACAACACAAAGTGATTGGCTGCTTGTTTGTACAGTGAGTGAAGCTACTATAATATGGTACTTACCACAGGACAGGGTTTAACTGAAGTGCTGGGAAAATAACCAGATTTTCTAGTCTGTAGCAAACGCCCCTGTTAGGAGAAAATCTGCCATTAACCACCAAATATAGCCGGTGACCAATGGGTTTTTCTTCTCATAAATTGTTGTTTAGCACCTACCTCCCACCACGAGGAATCTGGGTCACCCCTCAGGAGCTCAATCACCTCCCCAGTCTGGAATGTTAGCACTGGCTTCCCTGGAGGAGCAGGGTTTCCACAGTAATTCTGTATGGTGACCATCTTGGGTCCTGGAATCAAAAGGTATTACCATAAAAGATGTAAAAGTGCAGAGAGAAAAACATTATCACACAAATGAAATAGTGCAAAGAGAGGACAAATACAAACACAGATGGAGTTTTATTTTTCACCAACAATTACTGACGTACGGCTGTCAGCCCATGGCAGAGTTTAAAGGGACACTCAAGTCAAAAGCAAAATGTATGCAAGAGACAAATGTCAAAAGCATTTTTCAGACCTGTTTTTCATCTCTGCTATCCTCTCTGTAAAAAAAAAAAACCAATCCTGCCTCTAATGTTACATCCTAGGCACCCATAATCTACAATACCTTTCAAATGTTTTAAGGATGGAAGCTCACAACTCACATCAGAGTCTCTGCAGTCTAACTGTACACAGCTCTAAATTTTCAAAACCTATGCTTCATCCCCTAGAGAAAACAATAAGTGGTGTGACCTAAGACAGACAGAAGCTGTACAGAAGTACTGGCAGGAGGCTACATTTCCACTACAGGTCTAATAAATGCCCTGCTAAATTTGGGACCAGGATAATGAAAGTCAGATTTAAGGCTTATTCATACCATAGCACGTTACAATTATACAAAGCATATGTGCATTGTGGTGCATTAAGTCATTCTTGATTTGCATGCCAACACAAAAAGTGCAAAGTTCTTTTGGAGCAGCAAAAAGCAATTGATCCGTGTATATTTATATGAATAGAACTTTGGACTCACCAGATACTGTGATTAGAGGATCCTAAGAGGAGAGACAAACACAAAATTAGGGTGTTACAACTGTCTGTTTACAAAAAGAGAAGCATAAAAACTTTACCAAATCCACCTATTCTGTAATAATTAATAAAAGTATGACTGCTCAAATCACTACTTGGCTACATTTCCCATGATGCTCCACCAGCTGTGGTCCTGAATAATTTAATTATGTGTGAATTATAAAAAGCAACAGAGAGTGCCAAAGACTATACAATGATAATTTGTAACAATGGTTTGTTAGAAGTCTACCACCAGCAGAGGTGGGGGGATCTATCCATTCCCAGAATGCTAGCTATGTAGTGGTTAAAAACCTGATGTTAAAGAGCAGTTTATGTTATCTAGCAGCTGTGTTTGTGAAGCAGTTTTAATCTACAATGTGCCAGGCCCTAGTTGAAGAGAGACAAACAGTACAGGTTCTGATTAAGGGTAAGTAGCAACATGAAAACCTGAAGGATGTCAGAATTAGAATTGTCATCTTTTACTTACAAGAGGAGATGAAAGAACTGTAAACTAAAATCCACTTTTAAAGTTTGACAGTCCATGTGAATTTCTTGCTGGTTGAGCATATTGGGCATTGTAGTTCAGAATGAAGATTTCCAGCCCCAATAAGAATAATAATTAGGAGGTATCCAGTCATTAGAAAGAAGAATTGCTTAGGAACCCACAAGAAGCCCATACAAGACTAAGAACAGGATTGATTGGACAGGTTAGAGATTTGATCATGGAAGATATGAATGGGTTCCCTTAACTGCTCCTATCTACCCACCTGATTTGCCCCTAGTGCATTAGAGGCATTTGAAGAGAAAATGGGTGGAGCCTATGTGACAACATACAACAATGTCTGATTAACTTAAACCAGAGACATTTATTCATCTAATTATAAGAATAACAGTTGATACACCAGGAAGCCCTTAGTACACAGTCTGGAGATAGAAATCAACAGTGTCCTAACACAGGGGCAGAAATCCACAGTGTTATCCAACAAATGGGACAGAAATCCACAGCACATCACAAGGTCCCTAAGGGTTTGCTAAGATGGTAATCTTAACACACCAAGATGGGTACAAACAGACAAAGCGGAAAAAGTCTTCACAGTTACTTTTTACAGTACATTTTTTGCAAGGTCTCACAGCTTTTGATAAATTGACTGGTGAAGCATTGGACACAATTTGGGCTACAAATAAAAGTGCCAGCATTTACTGGGGCACACTGGGACTTATTCCTCATCCGCTATGAGGTGCAAGTAGGTCATAATAGATTAAGAAAGCTCTTGTATAGCTCTGGAGTGACTTACAGGATAATATCTTACCATGTCATCACTGGGACCTAGCAGAAGAAATAACACAGAAGGATTATTGCAGAGTTCTCAAAACTTGTCTTCACATCCTAAAATAATTTAGGCTGACATCTATATGCTACTTTTCCTGGGTGACTTTTGTTACATAACCCCAGAAATAGATTTTATTTCCCCAGAAAGAAGGCACACTACTACCAGTGAGATGAGAAGGCGTAAAGGGGAGCTTTACAGTACTAAAGCCACAAATGACTCGCACATACAGAAACTTTAAAGTAATATTTATGCCCTTTTTAAAATGGGAAATTTCATAGGCTCCATCTATTAGCCCACCTCTTAACTCTGGGCTTCTTCCTTCTAGGTTCACACCTATACGCTTTCCGTTGCGTTTTGCAGAAACGCACAGAAGGCCATTTAAAATGATTTCCTCTGGGACAGGTTCACATCTCCGCATCTTCACCCGGTGCGTTTTTTGGAAAGGGTCAGGGACTTTTTTTAAATGCAAAACGTTGCATTTTTGGTTCAATAGACGTCAATGGAGACGCTGCAGAAAAGCATGTAGTGCGTTTTTCATTTTAATCTGTCTAGCAACAAGTTGGAAAAAAATAAAGCAAAACACATCAAAAACACTTAAAACACATATGCAAAAAGCACTGCAGAAACAGGTCAAACGCAAGCTGCCTAGGTGTGAACCTAGCTTTAGTCTACGTTCACACCTGTGTTTTCCACTGCCTTTTGAAGAAACACAGGGCAGTCCATTTACATAATTTCCTATGGGACAGGTTCACAAATCCGCATTTTCACCCAATGCGTTCTTTGGAAAGGGACAGGGACTTTTCTAAATGAAAGACGTTGCGTCTTTGGTTATGTAGACTTGGAGATGTTGCAGAAAAGCATGTAGTGCATTTTCATGCATTTTTAATTCTGTCCATCAACAAGTTGAAAAAGAAAACAAAAAAACATAAAACGCATCAAAAACAAGGCAAAAAAACGTGCAAAAACGCACCACAAAAAGCACTGCAGAAAGGGATCAAACGCAAACTGCATAGGTGTGAATCTAGCCTTAAAGCCAGCAGAGTACCTTCTTTTTTCATAAATCAGCTTCCACAGCAGTTTAGCAAATAGGCAGATATCATGTTGCTGGCTGAACTCGTCATACTATATACTGAGACTCACCCATTTTACACGGATGGATCGTCTCAAGGCACTCCTTGTGTACACCAACCCCGCACTTAGAGCAGTAGTAGCCCTGGTAGAATGTGCCCCTGTCAGAGAAACAAGACTGTCAGATATCCCTCAGTATATGTCATGCAATGTCATTGCTTTTTGCAAAGCAGGTGAATTCCTAACCCCATAACGACATGGTAACACATACATGCAGCGTCCAGGAGGTGGGCTTTAAACCTGGGCACCCCATACAGCACAGCATACTCCCAGAACAGAGACCAGGATCTCACACTAACGTGGGACCTGGAATTCCCGGTTCCTTTATTGGCTATCACAGTGATCAGTCACTGTGTAGCTTCTCTTCTGAATGGAGTGAAAGATAAATTGTATATTTCTCTTCATACACAAAAGTGTGTAAAAAAAAAATAGTTAGATCAAGGTCTGATTTCTAGGTCAGTGTTAGGGTCATAGGTCAGGGTCAGCATATTTTAGGTAGGATTTAAAAAAAAACCCAGCATGTTTAAAATTGGTATCAGTGTACTTTAGGTAGGATACCAAAAAAAAGAAACCAAAAAGACAAAATGTACAAACAACAACATACACATACAGTCATGGCTAAAATATTGGCACCACTGCATTTCTGTCTGATAATGCACCACTTCACCCAGAAACTTGTTCCAATTACAAACGTTTAGGCATTCTTAAGTTTATATCTTTGTTTGTATTGGTATGACACAAAAAGTGGAGAAAGAAATAGCCAAAGCTGATAAATTCCACACTAAACTCCAAACATTGACTGGAAAATATTTCACACCTCAATTTAATATTTGGTAGCACACCCCTTGGTAAAAAAATATCTGAAATCAAATCACTTACTGTAACCATTGAGTTTCTTATATTATTATTATACAGTATTTATATAGGGCCAAAAGGTTTGCTCAGCGCTGTACATTATAGTGGGGGACAGTACATGGGACAATACAGTAACAAAACAATACACAGGGGGTTTGAGGGCCCTGCACTTTCGAGCTTACAATCTAGGAGGGAGGGGATAGTGGTACAGGAGGAAGTGGCTGTGGGGGATGAAGTGGTAGGAAGAGTGGAGGAGATCGGCTGTTAGGTGAGAGTGGGGTAGGCTTCCCTGAAGAGATGGGTTTTCAGGGTGCGCCTAAAGGTGAGGAGGGTAGGTGACAGTCTGATGGATTGGGGTAGTGAGTTCCAGAGGATGGGGGAAGTCCTGCAGAAGTCCTGCAGTCGGACATAGGAGGAGGAGACCAGGGAGCTAGAAAGTAGGAGGTCTTGTGAGGAGCGAAGAGTACGAGTGGGGTATCAGGTCAGTGAGGTAGTTTGGGGCAGCATTAGGAATGGCTTTGTATGTCAATGTTAGTAGTTTGAATTTAATCCGTTGAACAATCAGAAGCCAGTGGAGGGAATGACAGAGGGGGTGGCAGAAGTGGAGCGGTTGGTAAGGTGAATGAGTCTGGCCACTGAGTTCAGGATAGACTGAAGCGGGGAGAGTCTGTGTTGGGGTAGGCCGGTGAGAGGGATTTACAGTAGTCCAGACATGAGATAATAAGGGAGTGAATGAGTTGTTTAGTAGTGTCTGGGGTTAGGAACGAACGTATTTTGGAGATGTTGCGGAGGTGGAGCCTGCATGAGTTTGCCAGCGATTGGAAACAGGGTTGGAAGGACAGGTTTGAGTCTAGAGCAGTGTTTTTCAACCTTTTTTGTGCAAAGGCACACTTTTTTCATGAAAAAAATCACGAGGCACACCACCATTAGAAAATGTTAAAAAAATTTACCTCTGTGCCTATATTGACTATATATAAAGTAATTCTCTTGAATAGGAATCAAACACACAAAGAAATTATTTTATAATTACTTTATTATGAAATAATAAAGTATTTTATAATTGGACCCGGGGGCCGGACCAAGAGTAGATGAATGATGTGTATGTGTCATCCATAGTAAGTATAGTAATATTCCCCCATAGTAAGCATAGTAATTAGTCCCCCCTCTGTAATTCATCCCCCATAGAGTAATTCATCCCCCATAGTAATTCATCCTCCATATAGTAATTCATCCCCCATAGTAATTCATCCCCCATAGTAATTAATCCCCCATATAGTAATTCATCCCCCATAGTAATTCATCCCCCATAGTAATTAATCCCCCATATAGTAATTCATCCCCCATAGTATTAATCCCCATATAGTAATTCATCCCCCATATAGTAATTCATCCCCCATAGTAATTCATCCCCCATATAGTAATTCATCCCCCATAGTGTAATTCATCCCCCATAGTGTAATTCATCCCCCATAGTAATTCATCCCCCATAGTAATTCATCCCCCATATAGTAATTTTCCCCATATATAATTCATCCTCCATATAGTAATTCATCCCCCATAGTAATTCATCCCCCATATAGTAATTCATCCCCCAGCAATTCATCCCCCGTATAGTATTTTCATCCCTCGTATAGTATTTCATCCCCCGTATAGAGATTTCATCCCCCGTATAGTATTTCATCCCCCCATATAGTATTTCATCCCCCATATAGTATTTCATCCCCTCATATAGTATTTCATCCCCCATATAGTAATTCATCGCCCCTCATATAGTATTTCATTCCCCTCATATAGTATTTCATCCCCCCCATATATTAGTATTTCATCCCCCCATATAGTATTTCATCCCTCATATAGTATTTCATCCCTCATATAGTAATTCATCCCTCATATAGTATTTCATCCCCCCATATAGGATTTCATCCCCCCATATAGTATTTCATCCCCCCATATAGTATTTCATCCCTCATATAGTGATATAGTAATTTCATCCCCCATATAGTATTTCATCCCCCCATATAGTATTTCATCCCTCATAAAGTAATTCATCCCTCATATAGGACTATTCCCCCCCCCCCTTCTAGTAAGCCAAGTCCCCCGTGTCAATTCACTTACCTTTTGCGTTCCTCTCGCTGTCTTCCCGCGCCGTTCGGGTGGGACTGTGAGAGGAGCCTAGTGGCGTTGTTGGTTGTGATGCCAACCGAGAGGAGGCATGGGGGGGGGCCGACCGAGAGGAGGGAGGGGAGCAGGCGCCCGGCTCGGCGCATTAGACTGGGTTTGGAAAGGTTCTGAATCATTAGATTCTAAATGGAGTGAGCCGAAGCCACATGTTACAGATGAAATTGGAATTTTTCCCACGGCTGACAATATCTCACGGCACACTAGTGTCACAGTGGTGAAAAAAACGTGGTCTAGAGTGAGACACCTAGGACTTTGGCTTGCGGGGGAGACTGAGGGGTGAGGATGATTAGGGGGTGGAGAGGTGAAATTTGCGTCGTCATCGGGCGTGAAGAGGTGAGGGGGGAGATAAAGTTGTCAGCCGTAGAGGGTAGTTGAAGCCGTGTAGTGTATCAGTTTGCCTAGGGAGGAGGGTGTAGATGGAGAAGAGAAGGGGCCCGAGGACAGAGCCTTGGGGGACCCCAACAGAGAGGGGGAGGTGGTAGCGTTATAGGTGACGCTGAAGGAGCGTTGGGATAGATAGGAGGAGAGCCAGGAGAGAGCGGAGTCTCTGATGCCAAGGGAGTGTAGTTTATTGAGGAGGGGGTGGTCAACTGTGTCAAAGGCTGTGGAAAGGTCGAGGACTGAGTAGTGGCCATTAGCTTTGGCGGTTAGCAGGTCATTAGTGATTTTGAGTAGGGCGGTTTCAGTGGAGTGCAGGGGACGGAAGCCAGACTAGTGGATTGAGGAGGTTGTTGTCAGTGAGGTGGGAGCTTAGGCGATTGTAGACTAAGCGCTCAAGGAGCTTAGATGTATATGGCAGCAGGGAGATGGGTCTAAGGTTGTTCAGGTCGGTGGGATCCAGGGAGGGTTTTTTGAGTATGGGGGTGATGTGCGCGTGCTTTAGGGGGGAGGGGAATGCACCAGTAGAGAGGGAGAGATTGAAGATGTGGGTGAGGGAGCGTAGGAGGTAGGAGGAGGGTGACCGGAGGAGTTGTGTGGGGACAGGGTCAAGGGGGCAAAAAGTGGTGAGGTGGGCTTCTGAGAAGGCCTTAGTGACCTCCTCAGTGGTAGCAAGGCTGAAGGAGAGGAGTGTTGGGGAGGTTATAGTGTGCGGGATGTTAGGTGTGGTGGGGGGCAGGGCGGTTGCGAGGTCAGAGGAGAGGAGAGTTGATGGGTTATAGTGGGAGGGAGGCTAGGTGGGGAGGTAGATTGAGCATTGGCAATGTCCTTACGGATTGCATCGATCTTGTTTTGGAAGTGATTGGCAATGTTGTGGGCGGTCAGTGAGGTACTAAGTGGAGGTGTGGGGGGGGGGGGGGGGGGGGGGGGGGGGGAGAGTAGGGAGTTGAAAGTGGAGAAGAGCCGGCGAGGACAGGTGGAGAGGGTGTTGATGAGGGTTACGAAGTAGGCTTGTTTGGCGGCATGGAGGGAGGAGGTGTAGGTGAGGAAGGCGGATTTGTAGAGGGAGAACGCTCGAGGGGAGCATTATACTGCTCTACTTGAATTTTGGACCACTCTTCTTTCGCCAACTGCTCCAGGTCTACCAAATTGGAAGGGTCCCTTTTCTTAACTGCTGTTTTGAGATCTCTCTACAGGTGCTCTATGGGATTGAGATCTGGACTCATTGCTGGCCAGTTCAGTACTCTCCAGCGCTTTGTCCTTAAACCATTTTTGGGTGTTTTTAGACATGTGCTTTGGGACATTGTCCTTTGATGGAAACCAAATTTTCTGACACTGGGCCTTACATTGCACCCCAGAATTCTTTGGTAGTCTTCGGATTTCATAATGCCATGTTCACGGTCAAGACATCCAGTACCTGAACCAGCAAAGCATCCCCAAAACATCAGTGAACCTCCAACATGTTTGACTGTAGGGACTGTATTGTTTTCTTTAAATGCCTCATTTCTTTTTCCGTAAAAAGTAAAATGACGGGCTTTACCAAAAAGCTGGAATTTTGTTTCGTCTGTCCACAGAACATTCTCCCAAAAGGATTTTGGCTTCATCAGGTAGGTTTTGGCAAACACCAATCTAGCTTTTTTATATTTCTGTGTCAGCAGTGGGGTCCTCCTAGGTCTCCTGCCATGGT